GGAGAGACAACCTTGAAGATCTGTGAAATGCCTCTAAGGTCGTTCTTCCATTCTCTTGATGATTTCTTCTTTCTATCTTGACCTCCTTAGCAAGCAGTCACTGGGTTACACCCATAGTTTCCTCTCCCAAAGACACCTTTTCACTCTTTATGTGGCCAAGCTGAGAGTTTTCCACTTTTTACCTCTTGTTTCCTTTTTAATTATAAATTCTAGCTTTATGTCATGACTTTGCTGCCATAACTGAGCATAGACTATTGCAAGTACCAGCACAGCTGCTTGAATGTTTTGCTGCTTAGAAATGTCTTCCACCAAATATCCTAATATATAACTTTTAATTTCCACGTATCATAAAGCCCTTGGGTATGAATAGAATGCAGCCAAGTTCTTTGCAACTCTATAGCAAGGGTGACATTTTCCTCCAGTTTCCAATAAGCTCTTCCTCATTTCAATCTGAGACCTCCTTAGAATGGCCTTTTCTGTCCGTATTTCTATCAGCATTCTGATCACCGCTGTTTAACTAGTCTCTAAGAAGTTCCAAACTTTCCCTGATCTTCTTGTCTTGTAAACCCTCACCGGAATTTAGGATTTTTCTAGGCTGCTCCTCCAAATTCATCTAGCCTCTGCCCATCACCCAGTTCCAAAGCCACTTTCACATTTTCAGATATTCATTATAAGCAACATCCCACTCCTGGCATCAATTTTCTATATTAGTTCATTTCTGTTGCTTATAACAGAATACCTAAAACTGGGTGATTTATAAAGAAATGAAGTTTACTTCTTACAGTCAGGAGGCTGGGAAGTCCAAAGTCCAAGGAACACATCTGGTGAGGACCTTCGTGGTGGTGTGACTCTCTACAGCAGCTCAGTGTATCAATGGCAAGAATGAGCTGGGCAGGAGAGAGCTAAACTGCTCTCTCTCTCTCCTTAGAAAACCATCAGAACCACTCCCATTACTCCGATGGATCAGTCCATTCAAAGGACACAGTCCTCACAATCTAATCACCTCAGAACGGCCCCACCCTTCAAATACCATAATTGTATTTCTCACCCTCTTAGCACTGTTACAAAGATGGTCAAGTTTCCAATACATGACCTTTTGGGGGGACACATTTAACCCATAGCATAAGTAGTATGTTTGGGATGACCCCTTCATTTAGGTACCTTTTACAGTTTGCAAGCAGTATGTTTCTCTACTTGATCTCACTGTGATTTTCCTTTCTTGGCTATTTTA